AAAAWTTTYYSAAARKWAAAAAAAAAATTTAAAAAATGGTGGCAGCGTGGCGATTTTAAAGCGGGCTTAATTAATTAACGGGTGGCGCCGTGGCACCTTGGGGGGGGCCGGGGGGGAGCCGTGAGGTGGCGGAGGAGGATGGGGAGGGTGAAGTCTCGCGAGAAGTCGCCATAGAGACGGCGGCGCTTGATCGAGGGGGGAGCGGGTCCTGCTGCTCCTGTGGGGACGGGAGAGAGTGGCGGGATCAGCCCGGGATCCACCGGGAGCGGGAGCATCCCGGGATCCACAGGGAGCGGGATCCACCGGGAGCGGGATCCACTGGGAGCGGGAGCATCCCGGGCTCCGCTGGGACCGGGATCCACCGGGAGCGGAATCCTCCCCGGAGCGGGATCCACCGGGAGCGGGATCCACTGGGAGCGGGAGCATCCCGGAGCGGGATCCACCGGGAGCGGGATCCACCGGGAGCGGGATCGTCCCGAAGCGGGATCCACCGGGAGCGGGAGCATCCCGGGATCCACCGGGAGCGAGATCCACTGGGAGCGGGAGCATCCCGGAGCGGGATCCACCGGGAGCGGGATCCTCCCGGAGCGGGATCCACCGGGAGCGGGCACCACCAGGACCGGGATCCTCCCGGGCTCCGCTGGGAGCGGGATCCGCCAGAAGCGGGCTCCACCGGGAGCGGGATCACCCTGGGCTCCACCGGGAGTGGGATCCGCCGGTAGCAGGATCACCCTGGGCTCCACCGGGAGCGGGATCCGCCGGTAGCAGGATCACCCTGGGCTCCACCGGGAGCGGGATCCTCCTTGGCTTCGCCTGGAGCGGGATCACCCTGGGCTCCGCCTGGAGCGGGCTCCGGCCGCCGCTCTGCGCGTTCTCTCCGCTGCCCGCGCAGGTAAAGGCGCGCTGGGGAGGCGGCGGCCGCTGTCCCCCTCCCCTGGGCTGAGTCACCGCCGCGGTGGGCGAGGGGGTCGGGAGCCGTGACCCCCGGCCGGGCGTGGGAYGGACGGATGGAGGGAGGGAGGGAAGGGAGAGCTCCGGGGGACAGCTGGGAGCGGGGGACCGCTGGCTCCTGGCGGCCCTGGATTGAGCGGGGGTTGGATCATCTCCTGCTTGGGAAGCTGGAAACTCAAGAGCGGGTGTTGGCACGGCCGAATGGGGGCCGAGGCTGCCCCGAGGGTTCGGTGTCTCCTTCCCGGTGCCCCCGATCCCGCTGGATCCTTTTCCTTCTCAGCGTTCCCCCATCCTGCTGTGATTCCTTCCCCGGCCCCCGTCCTGTCGCTGTTTCCCCTTCCCTGCGCTGCCCCCATCCCGCCTTCTTGCTTCCCGTTGCTTTCCCTATCCTGCCCTCTAGTTTTCCTTCCCGGTGCTCCCTCGTCCTTCCCTCTGGTTTCCTTCTCTGAGCTCCGTTGTCCCGCTCCCTGGCATTCCCTGCTGTTCACATCCCGCTCCTGCTCCATTTCCTCCAAATTCCTGATCCTCAGCTCCTGGGCAGCAGCTCCGGATGGGAAAGGGAGAGAAATGAGGTACTTCGGCCTCTCTGAGTCGGGATAACTCCTGGTTATTACCCCATCTCTCCTAAAATTCCAGCGGAACCGCTGCTGGATTCCTTGGGAGTTGGAGTAGGGATGGGTAGGGATGGATGTAGCGTTCAATAGCGGCGTTCAATCTTTTAGCGGCACATACAGAGCTATTAAATCGTATTAAAAATCACAATAAAGTTCGGGGCTTTGAAAGGAAAATACCAGGTTTTCCCTTCCTGGTTGTGTGTCAGCACAAGGGAACTCCAGTGCTCCAAGCTCTGATATTTCATCTTTAAGATCTTAAAGGTCTTTTCCAACCTTAATAATTCAAAGATTCTTAGTTCCCAGCATCACTTTTTTCTTTAAGTTTTCCATATTCAGTTGGATAATGTGAAAACAGAATGCACTTTAAACTCAGGTCTATTCTGGTTCTTATTATTGCTCAGTGCTAATATAAAATTACTTCAGAGCTTTTTGTTACAGTGTGTCTTCCTTTTTCATTTTGGCTGCTTATATATGCATATATATTATGTGAATTATATGTTTATGTATGTTTATTACAGTTTTATGGTTCTAATGCTCCATCGGAACAACTGAGATGAGACTGAAGACTTCCCTTTTAAAGGAACCAAAACATATCCTTTGTCACAGAAAAAGCACACAACATCATGTTCATTCTGAATAAACTCTTCAGAAAGTATCTCTTTATTGTTGAAGTTACAGTTAAATATTAATAAGTTGTAGGTGTTTTTTTTCTTTCTTCTTCCTTTATTCACCTTGTCACTGAGTGCCTTTCAGGACAGTGTTTTAAGAGATATTGAACACTTCTATATGATGTGGTGTTACTAAACTAGCACTTTGGGATGATAGTTGGATGTTTTGCACTTGTATTTTGCACTAAGACAGACCCTTCATTAACCCAGCATTTTATCCATGTTTCAATAACTTTACATTGTAATAAAAATTATCTTTTTACATGATAATTTGCTGTATTTTTGGCTGGATTTCTACCTGCTCTTCTAGGCATAAAAGGGCAAAAACCTGAAGAATAATATTTTGTTAATGTAAAATATTCCATGGAAACTTGTCAATATAATCTTCCTGTATTGTCCCTTCAGTTCTGCATAGCTGAGATGGGATATTTTGTGAGCTAATTTTTAATAGTTGAACTTTGCAGATTCCTTAACGGAATGAAACATAAGGAATTGGTGAGCTGTGTGGGATGGACCACAGCTGATGAGCTCTACTCGTGCAGCGATGATCACCAGATCATGAAATGGAACCCTGTGACCAGCGAGACCACTCGAGTGGTGAAGCTTCCAGATGATGTTTATCCCATCGATCTGCACTGGTTCCCCCGAGGGATTGGTGGGAAGAAGCAATCCCAGGCCGAGAGCTTTGTTCTGACTAGTTCTGATGGTGAGGCAATTTAAAATATTTATCATTTTACACCCCTTAGTGCTCGTGCCAGTCAAGCACAGGAGACATTATTTGGGGAGCAAGAAGCTTGGAGGATTGCTTGGGGTGTGGTTTTTCCCTTCTCCCCAAAAAAGCTGGAATTTTTTTCCCTCTGAATCCAGTTAGTGCTTACACGTAACAAAGGAGAATCTCAGACCTGAGAGATATTCTATAAAATAAGTGATATATTAATGAGATAAATTTTTTTTTATAGTTCTAAAACAGTGGAATGCATTAAATGAACACCCTGGAGGTGTTGGAGCAGTCTGGTCTATGGGAGGTGTCCCTGCTGATGGCAGGGCTGTGGAATATGATGAGCTTTGAGGTCCCTCCAACCCAAACCAGTCTGGAATTCCATAATATTTTAAACAGTCTGTTCAGATAAACTGATTTATCCAAACCATACTTTTTCATCAGTGTCAAAAACCTTTTCCTTAGAAATCTTGCATTGGCAGAGACTTAGTGGGATGATTTTGCCAAAAGTTCTGGTCACTCAGGAACTTGCTTGTAGTGGTTGAGTTTGGCAGCTTAGATCAAATAATACTAAAATAATTTGATTTTAAAGTAATTCATTTGAATCACTGGACTGTTCATTTTTTCCAAGGCCTCCATTGTCTGCTCTTTGCTCCAGTTTAAATTTGATCTTCCTGGATTTAAGCAGCATCCCTTATTTGGGAAGAAAAACTTCCTCATCCTTCTGTTGCAATCATTAATAACTTTGGGTTTGGCTGCTGTGGATTTCTACCCCAGCTCCATCATGGAAGCAGGAATAGTTCTGATTTTAGCTATGAAAAACAATTTGGTGTTTTCTTTGTATTGTTATTTTCTTGTTTTGTGTTTTTAACAGAAGGTAACAGCATTGCTGTAATAATATGTAATGTAATTAATAATGTAATGCATAATTTAATATATAATTGATCATCTATAATTGTATTAATTATACACTCTGTATCTCTCGTTTAGGAAAATTCCACTTGATTTCCAAATCAGGAAGAGTGGAGAAAAGTGTGGAAGCACACAATGGAGCTGTACTGGCAGGAAGGTGGAATTATGAGGGAACAGCCCTGGTTACAGGTGAGCATTCCTGTATTAATGAGGGAGTTTGAAAATGAAAAGATTAATCTACTATTTTATCCCTTAATTATCACTGAGGTTGTTATCACCTTGCTTAATAGGCGTTAATTTTGCACTATTTCATTAATGCTATTTTGGCTTAATATTGTGTATTTTAATTAACAGAAGATCTAGTGAAAGTATTTCTCTTTTTTAGTTTATGTCATCCTATTTACTTGAAAATAAATGTTTTAATATCAGAGTGCTCAGATGGTTTTGTGGCTGTTCTGAACTTTAGAAAGGAGAATATTTTATTTATTTTTTTTAACTGTTGCAAGAAAAGGTTGTTAAATCAGATATAATATCCCTGCACCTTTGGGGTTTTTTAGCCAACTAAATTTACTGAGGCCTTGTTGATCTTGAATAGTCCTGTGCTTTTATTCCTTAATTATCACCAATTATCACCTGCAGCCTGTCTATGTTGATGCTGGCAGAGTGATGCAGCAATTCCTGCTTCTCTCTATATCTTTTTTGCCCTAAATCTTGTAGTTTTTGGCGGGTTTTTTGCCAAAATTCTCTGTTGGTGTTGAGGGGAGCTGCTGAAATTGCCTGTGCTGGAGTCAGACTCCTCTGCAGCCTCCTGCTGATGGAGCACAGCTGATTCCCCTGGCCCAACTCCAGCTCAGGCCACAAGAACTGAAGATAATTTGGGATCTGCTCATTTCCAGACTCTCAAACGCTGCTTCAAGGAACTCTGTCTGGCCTGTTCCTCTGAAATCCCACGAGGACGGAAATATTGTTCTTTTTAAAGACAGCTTTGCCTCAGGAACTTTTCCAAAGACACAGTCAAAACTGTCTTTTGAATCTCCTTTTTTTTTTATGAGCCTGCATGACACTGACACTTTTGGGGAGTGTGGGAATTCATCAGCACTTCCAGTTTACTCAGAACATCAACTGCTCTTGTACCATGACTGTACTTTCAGGAAGAAGAAATAAATCATTGCTGTAAATAAATCATTGCTACTGCATCACTTCAAATACAGTTATGACTATATTTCAACAGCATCAATTTGCACAAATAAGGGTTTTAATTTTAATGGGTATTTTTCAGTATTTTTAATTTTTTTTTTACCATTTAAAAGCCACCTTGACCAGATATAAAAGCCTGAAATGTGGTATTTAAATTAGCTTTGAATGGAAGAATCCATTAAGTTCTAGGTGCACCTTTCTCCCCATTTTTTGAATCTGGGAGGCCTAAATTGGAGGGCCCGAGCATTTTAAAAGTGACAACACAGCAGGAAATCTGTGCTGTTAGTACAGCCCTGATTGTGCTGGTGGTGTTTAACAACTTAATCTTCAATAAATAAACGGAGTGATTTGGTAACACACAGCTCTGGTAGAAAACTGAGGCCATCCAAACAGAGTTATCTTCACTCTCACCATTTATCAACTGTGAAACCTCCACTTGAATCCATCAAATCTGCTCTGCTCCCTTGGGGCTCCCCAGACTCCTTCAAGCGGCCTCTGGGCCACTGAATGAGCCAAAAATACAGAATTTTGGATACTTAAGTAATGATTGACTAATAAATAATAATACTAATTTATAGTAATAAATAAATAATGAAGGAGCAGCTTCACATAAGACTTCAGGGATTTTCAGGAATGGAAAACTTGTTGATTGCAACAAAAGAACCATCCTAAATATTTTTCCTTCATAAACTTCCTACTGCATGTTTGGAAGACTGAATAAAAGGAATTTACCTGGAAGAAAATCTGGATTTATTTTAAACCATGTGTTTCCTGAGTAAATACAAATACATTTTCTTAGACTGATTATTGCATTGAATTTGCTGATTTCTCTGCTCGTTTTCAGTTGGGGAAGATGGCCAAGTGAAAATCTGGTCTAAAACTGGAATGCTGAGATCCACTTTAGCTCAGCAAGGTGAGTTCATTTGCTGAAAGTTCCATCAGGACTTGTTCATTTGGGTTATTCTGAAATGTATTTAAATTACGGACCCTAAATCTGGCAGGGATGGTTTGTTAAGAGTGTTATATGTAATTTATTAAAATGTTGCATTTGAATAAGATTTAAAAAAAAAATTCAAATTAAAATATTGCAGTATTTTTAGACAGCAGTCTCAGTCCCACCCTGAGGATTTGGTGCCATTTCACTGAAGATCCTCAGCTAAATTTTGTTTTTCAGACTTCATAGATTGTGCCCATGTGACCTTGTGACATTTTTGAAGAAACCACATGCACCTGGGGCTGGGTGAAATGTCAGACCCTTATCTCTTTCTGAAACAAATTATCTGAATTCTTTCAACCCGGGGAAGGCATTTTAACCACAGCAGTGAATGTAAAATGCATTTCAGTTCTTTTAAGGAAGTTCACGTGCACTTGCAGTGTTTTTCAGGTAAAAAGATAAACCAACTGAAGTCAAATTTAGAAAAAAATTAAAATTGAAGCATGCATTCTTTATTTCTCAGTTTATGTTGTCAATTTTTTGTGCTTAATTTGGCTTATTTGAGGTTTGAAAAAGTTTATAAGGTGAATTACATGCTGTAGTTTAAAATACAAATTTTAACTGATTTCTACAAGTTTCTGGTGCAGTATAAAAGCACAGTTGAGTGCCCATGGAATAACTGTCACCCTCTATTTGTGTTTTTAACATAAAATCATGTGAGGCCCTCAAATCTTTTTAAATTCAGAGTCAGAATCCCACAGATCCCTTTGTAAACCCTTCCATGCCTGGGATCAGGACAGGATTCTGCAGGAATGCTGCTTTTTAAGGGAGGTGTTTCATGTTCAAACCAATTTTTCCCTTCCTTCAGCATCTCTTGAGAACTGAAAGGATCCCCACTGCCAACATTCC